ATTTTTGCAATATTCCTCAGATGAAAGAACGAAATTCTAGAAACCTCTTTGTAATGGGATTTAAATGACAGATCCTGATCAAAAACAACACCAAGATTTTTTACTTTATTATCTGAAATCAGTTTAATCCCATCCAAATGAAGTGACTGACTAATCAGCTTCTTTTTCAAAGACTCTGGTCCAAAGACTATAACTTCTGTTTTGTCTGCATTCAGAAGAAGAAAGTTAAGAGTCATCCAGGTTTTAATGTCTTCAAGACATGCCTGTAATTTATGTAATGGGTTAGCTTCATCTGGATTTATAGACAGATATAGCTGGGTATCATCAGCATAACAGTGAAAATTAATCCCATGTTGTCTAATAATTCTACCGATTGGGAGCATGTATAAAGTAAAGAGAATTGGTCCTAGCACCGAGCCCTGTGGTACTCCACAGGCAAACCTTTGAGCATGTTGAAGATCTGTCATTAACATGAACAAACTGAATTCGATCAGATAGATAAGATTTAAACCAGTCTAGTCTTATGTATGGAGGTACATTTAACACAGTTCATGGCCAGTTGTGCATCCAGTATTGTGTGTCCAGATGCGTCTGATGCTTCTGCTGCTCCTGTGTTCAATGGAAAGGAGTAGCTTTGTTATATTTGCTGTTATGAGTAAAAAGTAGTTTTAATATGTTTTTAAGTGAGAAAGTCCACGTGACTGAAGATTACAATCCTGCCTTAAAAGCCTGCCTTGTTTCGCCGTCAGACCAGCACAAACCCCCCGTACACCGGCGGTGTTCTGTCACTGGAAATCCACTTTAACAGCAGCCTCTGGCCCGGTCGCCTCTTGGGAGCTTTCCTCTACTGCTAGTGTTTGCTGGAAATTAGATGTTAACGGTTTTTAGGTATGTGGTACAAACTGTAGGCACCAGAATAATATAAGCAAAGATATTTTGCTGGTAGGTTTTGAAATGTTAAGTTAATTCAGGCATTAATAAACTGTTTCGGTGGAGTGATAAAAGTGATCTGCATCATCAGCAGTGCTGTGTCTTTCTCACTGTTAGCTCGCAGATTAGCGTCTCTGATCGGATGATGTGGGGCGTCGAGCAGCAAAAGTTCAGTTTTTCCAACTTCAGCAGCTGCTGCATCACAAACTTCAGATGCTCATAAGCTCATGAGGCTCTGCATCGGCTGATCAGATGCGAAAAGAGGCGCTGCTGTTCGAAACACATTGCAGGACCTTTTGCTGTGCTTTGATGCGCCTCAACCATTGACTTTGCATACTATTGACTTCTGCTGCTACTATCATGTGCTACTATCTTATGCTACGTCTGAACATAACTTCTCTTCAGTATTTAGCATGTCAGGCCTGCCGTAGGGAAGCTAGTGTCCAATTGGCCTTTTATTGGTCTGCAGATTCTGGTCCATGGCTTGCAGCCTTCCATCATGGTTTTTTTACCAGTGTGAAGCTCTGGTGAGATTCATGTTAATGTCAGCATGGACATTTGTTATCAATGTCCAAATTTATTATCATGGTGTATGGCTCTACATATTTTGGTTCTTTTCTAATATGTGTCTAATCTGTGCTAATAAAATGGTTTTGAACAAGAATGACAAAAAAATTTCTACCAGAATAGGACAATCTGTTAAAATCTATTAGCATAGCACCAATAATATTTGAAGAGATTGTCAGGATGGTTTTTATTGATGTATGAGTCTGTTAAATCCTAATATTACTATATCAAAATTCATGTTTTCCAAGCAGTCTATCTAATTAGGACAGTTTTTCTGTCAGGATTGAGTAGTTGGCAAAGATCTGGGAATTAGGGCGGCGGTGTCCTTGATCTAGAACATAGTGTCATATTTTGATATGGCTGGAGCCTAGATGTCTTCTCATTTACAAACGTGTATAATGATGTGACGATGTGGCATATTAGAGTTGTATAAAATGCTTCTTTAACTGTGATTTGAGGCCAACTTTATGGAGAATTAAAGCAGGTAAGCACTGCCCTCTGTAGCCCTGAACAATTTCTCTGGTCTGAGTAAGATTACAGTTCCTGTCAAAATCTGTTATGTCATGTCTTCTGGTCATTTAATACATTTACATTATGAATGGTTATTTAAAGTATTTGTCCCGAGTGATCTCTTCCCAGGAAATAATTAGGGAGAGAAAGCTTAAAGGTGTAAACTATAACAAACAAGATATTTGCTCATTCGCATCTTATTTAATGGAATTTATCTTTGAACCAGCTTTTTCTTTTTATGTACAGCTTACTGTTAAGCAGATAAAGAATTAAAAGTAATTGATCATTATGACAGAAATGTACTACAGTGCTTTTAAAAATCTCCTCTTTGTTTACATAACATCCTTTCTACGCTCCACCTGTAGGTAAATCTGCTGTTCTCCATAGAGCCATCGCTACTGTGATCAAAGCTCAGCTGGCTGTTTCCTGGGTGCCTTTGAATTGCAGATTGCCATTACACGGTGAAACACAGGTAAATCAATATTTTTGAGAAGAGCAGTTGATCATCTTCAGGTAAAAGTAGAGCTAGATTCAGTTACCGGCTCAGTCCCAATATCTGCACCTCTACCCGTTCCTACTTCAACCATGTGGCCCCGCCCCCATGCGCTCTTGATCCACACTTAAACTAAGTGGACTTTGGAGTGAATTGCATACATTGCATTGCTTAATGTGATGTTTTAAGTAAAAAAGCGGCCTTGATCAAGCACTTGTTCCCTGCTTTTTTTTAATGGACTTCATTGATCTCACCATGGAGAAATTCATTTCTGCATTTGAACCATCCCATTAGGGAGCAGTGGGCTGCCACTGTGCATCGCCCGGGGAGCAGTGTGGAGTTAAGGGTCTTGCTCAGGGACCTAGAGTGGCAGTTTGTGGGAGTTTAACTCAGAACCTCCGGGACCCAAGCGTAATGCTCTAAGCACTAGGTCACTACACCCACCCTTTTTGATTTTAATAAACATACAATTACCTCTAAATATTTTTTTTTCTCTATGTTCATATTCAATCAATAATTCTTCTCCAGGAGCTTCTGTTTATTGATCATCCAGGGGATAGGTAGCAACAAAAAGTACATTTTATTGAAGATTAGTAGGGTAGAAGTTAGATGGTAATGGCAACTTTTTAGGATATTTAACCAACAAAGTAAAACATGATCTTAGATGTTCTGAATCACATTGTAATAAAATATGCAAAGCCATACCTCAACCCTTAAATTCAGTTAATCAAGATCACTCTTTTTAAAATAACCATTTTCCTAATCTCCCAAAGGGAAATAGAAATATTAATGACATATGCTTGATAATAAATTCATGGTTTAATAGTCAATCTTTCAGTGAAATGTTTTCTATTCAGCTATAATGGATAAGGACCTTGTATAGAAAAACACCACATTTAGTAACAGTGTCCTTTAAATTTATCAAATGGTCCATTTCTCCAACAGTTACAGAAACGTAAAAAATACTTTTTAAATATAAAACAAACCAAATAAATTTTTGTAATACATTTTAAAGAAGAGATTCAAATTCAAATTAGATTAATTTTGTTCATTTAAAAAGTAGATAATTTTCTAAAGTACTCTGGTCTTATGTTACACAATTAGTAATCACAAAAAACTTCAAATTTTGAATATGAGAATTATGATTTATATTGGCAGTCTAAGTTGGTCCTTTTTTTATTTTCAGATAACCACTGCTGCTAATGGAAAGTTGTCACACCTTCTTTAAGTATTTTTTCATTGATCTTTATATAATGACTTTTCTAAAATACCTTTATTTTCCTTTTCTTTCTCATAGCATTATGATCCAGTTAGATTCTTTCTCCCATAGATTTTTCTTGTGTTCTAATGTGAATTTTTGTATCCTAACCTCATTCAAGATATGACTGATATTTTTCTAATATTTTGTTTAAATCTTACGTGTGTATTTTGAAAATAAGGTTTAAGTTAAGAAAAAACTTATTTTCAAGTTGAATTATCAAAAATAATTAATATTTTACAGTCTATTTGTGAATAATAATAAAAAAAAATATATAGTTGCATTTATGATTGTTTTTTTTAGCAGTAACACCAGAAACCGGGATGGGTTCTCTCACTTTCGATGACTCCATTACGATGCAAGGCGCAAAACCTCTACCGATTCTCCAAATCTTTTTCATGCATGTGACTTTTGCACTCAAACCCTAATTGCATTTCCTACATATGCGCACTTAGTGTTTAATAATAATAATAATAATAATAATAATAATAATAATACATTTTATTTAACAGCGCCTTTCTTGACACTCAAGGTCACTTTACAAATAATACAAAAAAATAAATACCGTATTTTCACGACCATAAGGCGCACCGGACTAAAAGGCGCAGC